AGATTAGTGGTAGAAGAGGCTCCTGTGGTGGTGGGTCTGGCAGGGCCTGGATCCCTTCCTTTTCCCATCCCCAGTGCCTGGCATGTAACCAGGCCCTAGGCAGGTGCCGGGAGACAGCTGCGGCATTAACCCGTGTCGCAGCGGGGGCTCAGGGAGAGCTGGGTTTGCCTAATCAAGGCTTGGCTGTGCAATGTCCAAACATATACAGGACAGCTGCCCTCCCCATGGGAAGTGCCCACACTCAATGCTGCCACTCACAGAGATTGCCTGAATGCCAGACTTCCAACCCCCCCTCCCCCCGCCTTGAGTTATCGATGACCCCAGATGTAGTAACTGAATCTTCCTGTGTACAGAGGGCAGCAGCAGCCCTAATGTAGCATAATCACCTAATGGCATGTCCTCTAGCAGTCCACCGCAGAGCCCCTCAAGGTCCCAAGACTGACTTGGATCCTGGGCTACCCTAAGTGGCAGGATCAAGGCTTGTCAAGCTGTACTTGCCCTAAATTTGTGCCTCACCTCTGGCTCTGTGTAGCAAAGACATGGATGGAGACACTGACCGGCTATGTCCATGGGGTGCTCTGTAACTATGAGCTGTCACCATAGTGGCATGCCGGGGTGTGTGTGTGTGTGTGTGTGTGTGTGTGTGTGTGTGTGTGTGTGTATGGGTGTGCAACTCTCTGTGGCTTTCTATTTAAAAAATTATTATATTTTATGTGTATTGATATTTTACATGCATGTATGTCTGTGCACCACATGCATGCTTAGTACTTAAGGGGGCCAAAGAGGGTGACAGATACCCTGGAATTGGAGTTAGAGATAGTTATGAAGTACCATGTAGGTACTAAACCCACGTCCTCTAGAAGAGTAGCCAGTGCCCTTAACCGCTGAGCCATCTCTCCAGCCCCTGGCCATGGCTTTCTTAAGATGCAGCTCTGACACCTGGCCCTTACTCTCCTGCAGGCTTGCCCACTGCTACAACATCACAAATGGGCTGAAGGCCCAACCTCAGCTACAGAGTCTTATCCAGGCCATCTCTTCAGGAGGATATTCCTAGTCTGCTTCCTCTATACTTCCATAGATTCCACCTTCCTCTAAACTTCCCCCCTTTCCCACTGAAGAAAGACATATCTCCCACAGAACCTGTTGAACACACCCTTCAGTCTTTCCATCCGATAGCCAGAGAGATCCTTCTAGAAAAGTTCCCTCTCAGGAGCCCCTAAAAATTGCTCATTGTGCCTTCAGGGCCCAGAATGTCCAGAGCCTGCTTATTGTGGGAGGGATGCAGAGCATTGGGGGCAGAGGTCACTGGGATATTGGCCAACATCTGTAGGAGAAAAGCAGGTCTGTGCACCTCAAGGACTGGTGGGGTTGAGGAGATTTCAATAAATCCACAAAGACACAGAATGGTGGGGAGATCCAGATGGAGTGCAGGCTCAAGAGACACAGAGGCCATAGGAGGAGGAAGGTTCTACAGCAAACACATGGACTATAGAGTCAGCTAAGAAGCCACTAAATGGAGGATTACAGAGAGCTCACCTAGGTCAGCAGAGTGGGGTGTGTGTGTCCACATGTACATGTGTGAGTGTTGACAGGGACATGAGGAGGGCCTGTGGAGACTGTGGACCCAAGGCCGCAAGGGCTAGCCTTAAGAATGGGTTTCCTGGCCTTGCACCAGCCACTCACGGATAACCCAAAGTTATCGTTCACTTTGGACCACGACATACAGCTAGGCCTTTCCCCAGAAGATGGGCTGACCAAGCAGCCACGTGGTCCTGAGCCTCTCTGCTTTGGAGAAAAGCAATAACTTGGGAACCTGGCTGAGCCTGAAGCTGGTTCCATCCTTAGACTCTGGGGATGGGGGTGGGGAGAAGTGAGGCCCACAGAACCCCTTGGCCAGGGCCTGCTGAGTTGTTGCTTGGGTGAGGGGCTCCAGCCAGTTTTTCCTTCCTTGCCTGTGTGGAAGAGATCTGGTGTTTCCCTTGGGACCCCATGGTGCTCTGGGCCCCATCTGCACTTCTGTGCTGGCAAATGCAGAAGAATTAGCTCAGCAACTTCCTCCCCCTAATCCCCCACCCCCACTCTAAATACCTTGGAATCAAGAGAAAAGCCGAGTGGCCGTTTGCAGCCTAATTCTCTTCAGCTGTGCGTGCGTGCGTGTATGCGTGCGTGTTCTTGGGAGCAGAGGCCTGTGAGGGAACCTTTTGAACCCCAAATGTTGGAGTTGGAGGGAACACAAGGAACGTTGAATCCAGCCCCCACCATGTCCAGATGACATAAACCAGATACAGGAGGAGGACAAGACCTGCCTCTGTCACAGGGAAACCCAAGCACAAAGCACCAGGTGCTGGGCTCTCGGCCACATGCATCCTTATCCCTCCAGTCCTCAGCCCCTGGAAGGTAACCAAGTGTAGGCGCACTACACCCTGAAGACACCCATGGTCACAGAGCACCTAGACTAGCCTGGTCCTGGGAAGGGACTACAGTGCAACCCAGCAAGGCTACGACTGCTGCCTTCTTCCCCAAATTCCTTGGTGTCTCAGCCTGCCTTGCAGCCCCCATCTCCCTCCACGGTAGCCTGAAGTCTACCCAGTCCTCCCATGTCTCTCCAGAAACACCTATATGTCTCTTGTCTCTCAGCAAGAAAACAAATACTTTCAGTATCAAGCTCTACTCCTCTCTAGTCTCCCCCCAAAGAATAGAGAGGCAGGCTTGGGGAGCATATAGCAGGTGTCCCAAGCGGACAGGCGGCACTAGTTGATCAATAGCACCCCGAGTGCAGGAAGGTGGTGGTGTGGGTACATGGGTCTTGTCCCTTGAGCCTATGTTCCAAAGGACAGGTTTCTTGGCTTACCACACTTCTAAGACTGAGCCAAGGAGACTTCTTATAAGCATGGTGAGGTGTCTACCAGTCATCAAAAGGGCACTGACTAGGGACACAACTGAGGGCCCAGATCTATAAAGTGACAATAGACATTCATGAATCTTTGTGGGGTGTGTCTTGACCAGAGACACAATTAGAACCCAGACTTTGTTAAATATAACATCAAATAAACTCAATTTTCATGATTTAAAAAAAAAAATCCATTCTCAGCCTAGTAGTGGTAGTGTACATCTTTAATCCCAGCACTTGGGAGGCAGAGGCAGGCAAATCTCTGTGAGTTCAAGGCCAGCCTGGTCTGCAGAGCTAGTTCCAGGAGAGCCAAGGCTAGATTAAGAAACCCTGTCTTGGAAAAAAAAAATCCATTCTCAAGACAGAATCCCTATCAAGCTTTATGATTCCTAGGAGGATGCTCACTGCTCTAAGTGACCTTGCTTCCCAGCTCACTCACAAGTTTGAATAAAACAGAAGACCTTTGGGAAACCACAAGTGAGGTCTTAAGGATCAACTAGGGCACTTCCACAAGACACAGCTCCCCTAGGCAGCAGAATTCTACCCATTTGGTTTGGATTAAGAACATCTATAACATTTTGAAAATGTGCCTGTATTTCTTACTGGGAGTTGTGTTTTGGTGAAACTTGTGGATATTCTCTAAAGAACTGGGGATCCTACCCTCCTGACCTTTCCTGCAAGAAATAGGCTGAAAAGAAGGGGACTCAAACAAAATCCCCAGCCTCCTGGGCCAGAGAAGGCAAAGGCCTAGGCCTCAGAGCTAAGCTGGGAAGGGGCCTGCAATCACAAAGAGCAGCGTTTCAAATCAGAGCCCCATGGCCTCCTCACAAGCTCCTGGTGCCTGGCCTAGCTGCTCCGTGGGCCAGAAACAGCACCTCTAACAGGCAGGTGGGAAACGACACAGAGGGTTCTGGTGCTGAAAGTGGAGGCCCCTCCTGATCTCAGCCAAGGAAGAGGATAACCATGTTCACCCACATGGGCCTGCTGCTCCTCTTAGAGGTCATTTGGGAGGTTGGCAATGACAGGAAGCAGGAAGAAGGTGGCGGGTCACCTATCTTAGTGACAAAGACAGATGAAAGGGGCCGTTTGTGAGCCAAAGAGCCCAAGCTCCACTTCCAACATGCAAGTTCAAAGCTGAAATGATGAATTTTAAGATGGTGGCAGGTCCTTGAGTGGTGGCGTTAGTTGCACATCTGCTCTGGGATAGGCAGAAAGGAAACCACTAGTTAGGTATGAGGGTAGGACTGGCCTTTGAATCAAATGTAGCATGTTCCAAATGGGCCCAAAGGGGAAAGACAAAGCAGATGTGTGGCCTGGCAGGAAGTAGGGTAGAGCTAGGCACAGCTTCTGGGGTAAGAAAGGAACTGCCTGATGCTGGGGACATGACACCATTTTCTCTTTTCCCCAGATGAACAGTAACAGCAGGAGAAAAAGCAAAGAAAGAAAAACAAAAAACAGAAATACCCCACCAAGCCCTCACCCAGTCAGTCAGTCATCCTTGGCGAGAGAGATTCCTGGCTGTTTTTGTAGACGTATATTTTCAGCAAAAGCAGTTAAGATGTATGGCCTCTGCGTGCTTTAGATGACCACACCCTGGCCTGCTCACAGGACTGGCTCTCCCTCCCCTTCTCTCAGCTCCCTCGTTTGAAGTCAATTCTGGGGTGTTTTGGAGAGTACACCCAGAGTCCCACATGCTAAAACTACAATTTGCACAGGAAGTCCACATTGCCCCCAGCCCTGCTTATGAATCCAGGCAAGTGTTGTGTCCTCCAAATTTGCTATTTTGGCTTTAGTTTGTCAGGTTTCTCCAGGTTCTAGTTCAATGCCTGGCACACGGGCAGTGCATAGACTGTGTGGACTGAATGGATGCATGAATAAGTAGACAGAGTGGGAACTATCCTGGACACTCCAGAGACAGGACCCCAAACCAAGAGAATCTGGAGTGAGGTAGAGTGGCTGGGGTCTAATCTCAGGTCTATCATTACCTAGCTTTGTGACCTGGGCAGACCCAGGGCCCCCTCCATTTCAGCTACACACAAGTAGGACTTACCTTCCTGGGTGATAACAAAGAAAAACAAACATCCCCGCAGGCGGTGGTGCATACCTTTAATGCCAGCACTCAGGGAGGCAGAGGCAGGTGAAGCTCTGTGAGTTCAAGGTCAGCCTGGTCTACAGAGTGAGTTCCAGGACAGCCAGGGCTACACACAGTGAAACCTTGTCTCAAAAAAACCAAACCAAACCAAACCAAGCCAACCAACCAAACAAACAAACAAAAACCCACAAATAACAACAAAAACATGGCGGCCTCAGGAGGATGCCGGGGGACAGACAGAGAGGGTGGAGAGGGTGGATTGCTTTTTGCATTCCAAGGTCAGGCCAGGACCAGAGGCCCCTCATCTTAGGTCATGGAACCTTTCAGAAACAGTGGCTGCTTCAGTGTAGCGCTACACGCCTTGGCGCTACACTGCGGTTGGTCTCACACTAATTCAGAGGCATGAGCTCCAGGCTCAGCCAGAAGGACAGGTGGGGGTAGGGCGACCATACGCCTTAGACCTCAAGGGGTGGTGGACCCAGCGGGGTAGAGCATATGGACAGGCTCACCCAATCCAAGCCCTGGAAACATCAGGCTGCTTCCTCTCAGCCAATAACAATGTACAGCACGGAGCTATCTGTGTTCAGCCAATCGTGAGGTAGGTCTCCCCTCATTACTCAACACCTGTCCAATCAACTGTGCCGTGGCTTCTACGTCACCAAGGTCTGGGTAGGTGGCCTGGCCACGGTCGCTAGGCAGAGCAGTCGCGGCCGCAGCAGCACAGCACGTTTTTCCTGAGGGTGCTTCTCTACAGTCTGTGGTGGTTCTGTTTGGTCCAGTCAGATCCGGTGTGGTCTGCCTCATTTTGGATTACTTCAGTGTGCTTCTCCTCCGTGTGGTTCCGGTCCAGTCAGCCTCTGTGGGCTTTGCTCAGAGTGATCCTCCGCAATGTGGTTCTTCTCAGCGTGGTTTTGCTCAGCGCGTTCGTCCTCAGCACGGTTCTCCACGGTGAGGTCGTATCAGTCATCAGCCTCCGCGTGGTTATCCTCGACCCGGTTGGATGTGCCTCAGCTCGGATTACTCAGAGCGCGGTTCGCCTCAGTCCTGACCAGCCCTCCTCGGTGTGCTTTGCTCAACGTGGTCCCCTTTACTGTTTCTCCTGTGCACAGACCTCCGCGGCGAGGTCTTATCTGTTTCAGCATGGTGGTCCTCGGTACGGTCCGATCTGCCTCAGCTCGGGTCGCTTAAGCGCGGATGGCTCTGGTGAGGATCACTTCAGCTTGGATCACTCTGGTGGGGATCACTCTGGTGGGGATCACTCTGGTGGGGATCGCTCTGGTGGGGATCACTCTGGTGGGGATCGCTCTGGCGCTGATCGCTCTGGGGCAGTGGGTCCCTTGGCGCGGTCGGTTCCTTTGGCGCGGTCGGCTCCGTTGGCGTGGTCGGCTCCATTGGCGCGGTCGGCTCCGTTGGCGCCGTGGGCTCCGTTGGCGCGGTCGGCTCCGTTGGCGCGGTGGGCTCCGTTGGCGCGGTTGGTTCCGTTGGCGCGGTCGGTTCCGTTGGCGCGGTCGGTGGTGGGTTCCGTTGGCGCGGTCGGCTCCGTTGGCGCGGTCGGCTCCGTTGGCGCGGTGGGCTCCGTTGGCGCCGTGGGCTCCGTTGGCGCGGTCGGCTCCGTTGGCGCGGTCGGTGGTGGGTTCCGTTGGCGCGGTCGGCTCCGTTGGCGCGGTCGGCTCCCTTGGCGTGGTCGGCTGCCTTGGCGTGCTCCCCTTTCCTTCTCAGCATTCTTTTGTCAGCTGGGTCCCCTCAGGGCCTTTCTCAGTGCGTTTTCCTCAACGAGCTTCTTTTCCTCAGCGTGGCACTACCTGGAGTGCTTTTCTCCTCAGCTCGATTCTCAGCGCTTCTTTTTTCCCCAGCATGGTTCTCCCTCGGCGCGCTCTTCTCCTCAGCGTGTTTTCCCTTGCTTTGTGGTTCTCCAAGCTGTTCCCTGGCACGGCTCAAGTGGCAGGTCCACATGGTGGAGCTGGTAGCCCCCACGCGGCAACTACCGCTGCCCAGAGGCTGAGGGGATGCCGCGCCGCGCTTTCGCGGCTCCATCTTCATTTAGCGGCCTCGGTTCCATCTTCGTTTTGCGGCCACGCTCCATCTTCGTTTCACGGCCTCGGCTCCATCCTCGTTTCGCGGCCGCGTTCCAACTTCGTTTCGTGGCCTCGGCTCCATCTTTTTTCGTGGCCTCGGTTCCATCTTCGTTTCGCGGCCGCGTTCCATCTTAGTTTCATGGCCTCAGCTCCATCTTCGTTTCGCGGCCGCGGTTCCATCTTTGTTTCGCAGCCGCGCTATTCCATTTTCATCTTGACCACAGAGGCAGGGGGTGGCCTTGAGGCCAGTTGAGTCCCGAGGTCAATTGAGTCTCAAGGTGAGTGGCCCGGGACGCGGGCTCAGGCCGTGGGGTTTTGAGACCCAAGCTGAGTCTGAACGCACTCGAGCTGGGGCTGAATCCGTTTGGATGCACCTCAAGCTTCGCAGCCCTGCGTGGCCCTTGCCAAGGTCTGGTGGGTGGCCTTGCTAGATGGTGGCTGTCTTTAAAAGAGGGGCTTCGTTTGGGATGTTCTCACATGTTGGGGGAGGGGTATCACGGAGCTGAGTCTGGGGGAGGCTGGTTATTTCTGAGTTCCAAACTGCTGAATTGAGACCTGACTCTTGGATCTGAGTTTTGTGTGTGTGTGTGGGGGGGGGGGGGGGGGGGGGGGGGGGGGGGGGGGGGGGTGCGAGGGTGGGCCTACGGTGGTTTCGAGTCCAGAACAGAGTCGTAACTGAAGGTAAGTAGGGATTCGGGTGATTCCGTGTCTGGAGCTGAGTTGAGATGGGAGTCAGCATTCAGGTATGGAGTCCATTGTGGTTCAGAATTGGGATCTGGCAGTGGAGGCCGCCGTGGTTGCAATGGTTCCTGGCCTTCCTAACGCTGTGACCCTTTAATACAGTTCCTCATGTTGTGGTGACCCCCAACCATAAAATTATTTTCGTTGCTACTTCGTAACTGTAATTTTGCTACAGTTATGAATTGTAATGTAAATATTTGTGTTTTCCCATGGTCTTAGGTGACCCCTGTGAAAGGATCATTGGACCCAAAGGGGCCGTGACCGACAGGTTGAGAAATGCTGGATTAGTTAGTCCCAAGTGAGGAAACAGAGTTGAACTGCCAGTTACCTCCAGATTCTCCGTTGGGATTTGATCCCTTCCTATGGTTTTGAGTTGAGATCCAAGAGTCTCAGGTCCCTTTTGGGGACTAGACTGAGGGTTTTGAGCTATATTCAGGGACCTGACTGGGGAGTCCAGAAAGAATTAAAGTTGGTTTTGAGTGTGAGTGTAGTATGGACTGAGTTAGGGATCAGGACTGAACTATAAAGAGTCTGGTTTTTAGCGAATGTGGATCACATTTTGAGAAGTAGTGTATAAAAATCTTTGTCATCTGTGGATCAGAGTTGATTAAAGAATCACCAAAGCCAGGGCACAAATCTCAGCCCTCCATTTTGTTCCTCCTGGCTGGCCACGTTCCCTTTTCTGTAAAATGGCCACATTCCCTTTTCTGTAAAATGGGGATGAGTGTTGTCCGGCGGAACCATTCTTGGCATGAAAGGGAGTAGTTCACTGGATAAAAATAGTTTTAACTTATATGACCAAAAAGTGCAAAAGGTTTCTCAGTAGTAATAGGCACAAACGATGTACTAATCTTTTCTCATACTATGTACCCTTTGTTAGTCAGAAACGAGCAAAGGGGACTTTTTTTTGTTCTTTTCTCTAGTACTTGCCCCACCCCCAGCCATGAGCCTAATACACAGCCATCCTCAGGCAATACTTGTTGAAGGAAAGCAGGCAGGCAGGATTAACCAGATTTCTATGGTGTCTCAAATGATCCATTTCTGCACCTGTTTTCCAGATACTCACTAGGAGAAAAATTTAAGGATTGGATTGCTTGATTCTGGTTCTATTTTAATGTATTACCAAACATACTGAAGAAAAAGGCTCCAGCTAGAAGGATCTTTTAAAATTTCGAATCAGAGTATGTCCAAATTCAAATAAGGAGAGCACAAATTAAAAAAAAAATGAGCCATTTCCCTGATGAACATCGATGTAGAAGTTCCATGTACAGTATTAGCTAACTGAATCCAACAGTATATTAAACAACAGTTCTTAAACAAGTGGAATTTCTCCTATCTAAACTTAACTTTCTGGTAAACTTAAGGGAGAAACTGTATTATTCTTTTAAGATAAGGAACAGGTCAAGGGTATTATCCTAGCTACCTCCTAATATAAAGAAAAGAAATGGAGATGTGAGGCTCTTGTGGTAGGAAGAGTGAAACTAATTATGTACAGATCAGAGGAATTTTTTATACTGGAGTTTGCAAACATTTTGGTATTACAACCTTTGTGCACTTAAAAATCATTAAGCACCCCCCCAATTTATTTCTTTAGATAGATTATATCTATTGGTAGTTACATTCTTAAAAATTAAAACTGTGTGCTTAAAACATAGAGCTGTATAAGCATATTTCCAGTGAGGTCATACCTTTGGAAAACTCTGACTTTGTGAGAGTCAAAATAGAAAAAGGCAGACAAGGTCTGAGTATTATGAAAATACTTTTTCCTAAGACCTTCTATGACCTTTCTTGAGAGGGTCTGAGTATGCTTCTTGGGAATCTTTGGGCTTTGAAAACTGCTGAGCTACCTGAAAAAAATAATAGTTTTGCACCTAAAGAAAGATTTTAGCAAATGTTTTGGGTATATGCAGTATTTATATCGTTTGGATATATATCCAAACAAACAACAAACCAACCATGTTTCTTTATAGCAATAGTGATTTAAAAGATGGAAGAAGTGTACTAAGATAGCAATTAGAATAGCAACAAAATTTTCTGGTCTAAACATTTTTTTAAAAGATGATGTTTATAGGAAAAAATGTAAATTCCCATTGGAGGATAAAGAAAGGCAGAGACATCTATTTTCTTGGATGGGAAAATTTAGCATTAGAAACCTCAATATTTTGCAAATCTATAAATTCAGTTAGATTGCCGTCAGACTTCTAGTTGGAGGGTTTAACATGTATTCCTCAAGAATTTTTGTGAAAGTAAAAGATCTAAAAATGCCAAGTGAACTTTGAAATAACATTCCACGCCTTAGCAGCCAGAAGGGCGTAGTGACAAAGACCCAGAAGAGAGCTCAAGAGCTCAGCGCTGAGTCTAGAGAAGGTGACGTGATAAAAAATGGCACCACATATCAATGAAGACTGCTTGGAAGATGTTAGAAAACCAGTAAAATAGAAAAATCCTGTGGATTTCTGAGTCCCTAGAAAAAGTGAGCTCCAAATAGACCAAAAAATTTGAAGTGAAAGGTAGTTGACATTTACTTAGTAAGAAAAACCATGGAGAATAATTTCCTGGTCCAAAGTGGCATGGAGGTCTTAAGCAGGACAAATCTTAAGACTAAAATTTATGAACTTGAATAAATGATGCAAATTAAGGATTTCTATTAAACAAATCCACCATGGCCAGTGCCTCTATTTCTGATAGAAAGGCATGATTCGCCTTTTAATTTTTTAATTCTTTCACAAATGTAATTTTGCCCATGACAAACTACAAGATAACTGAAATACTAAAACTAAAGAACAGCAGTTTAAGATGATGAGAAAGTCCTGCAAATCAGTCAGAGAAAGATGACAAGAAACTTGGAGGGTTAACAGTGAAAATATGCCCAAACTTAAGTCACCAGAGAAATGCAAATCAAAGTGACATTTATTTTTCTTATGAGAAAGAAGCCTTAGAAAGGAGGATAATGCCAAGTGTTGGCAGAAGGTAGGGAACAAGCCTCCCTGCCTGCTGCAGGTGAGAAGGGAGACCGGCACAGACATTCTGGAAAGCTGGCCAGCATTTTTTCCTCAAATAAAATATTTTATACCTGCGGCGCAACAGTTTCCCTCCTGAGTAAACATGCTGGAGCAGTTCTCCCCCAGAACAAGGAGAGGCTGTGTGTGCCTGCTCAGCACAGCATGGCCTGGGGGTGGTGGGGTGGTGGGCATTTGGCTCTGGTTGCTGTGGTTAGAAGCAGGGGACTAGATGTACACTTCACAAGATGGAGACACATAGAAACAGTGCTGAGCGACACAAACACCAAACAGAAGGAGGGTTTCAGTACATGCCTCTGTTTAAATTAAAATTACACACCACCCAGACCTGCAGTAACAGGGCATGCCATACATACATTCGATGATA